AGCCATCTTTAAAAATAAAGGTAAAAAAAATGTTAGAATTCTAAAAAAAAAAAAAAGATTTGAATTCCCAAAAAAAATGCAGTAGGCTTCTTGGAGAAGTTTTGAGAAAATTAACGGAAAGATAACGGAGGAAGGGACGGAAGTGATGGACGGTAACAGCCCAACAAACGAAAGTTACAAAAAATAGCTATTTTCTTCGATTCTTATAGGTTAGGGGTTAAAACCGTTATCTTATAAGGTGAGGGGCCAAAACCATCCAACTTATCAAGGTAAGGGGCTATTGTTAGGCTTTTGCCCATCAAATGGAATGATTCAAGTTGCATGGTTGATGTAATTTTATCCGTGGGAATTTTACAAGTTTACACGATCTCTGAAAATTAAACTACGAATCAGTTCATTTCATGCCAGTTTATACAGAAATTGTTCTTTCTAAATCACCGGGCCCCATTATCTGAGCGCGCCGCTTTTCATTATAAGTAAGAGCATTTTTTTTGTGAAATTGATAAGAATTTTAGTTTTTTCATACTACTTATATTTTATAAATTTAAAAAATTTGAAAAAAACTTACATTTTTTAATTTTTTTTAATTTAAAAAAATTTTAAATTTGTGTTTTTTATAAACTTCTTTTTTATTTATTATTATTTTTATTTTTAAAAGTAATTTTTAAATTTTTTTTTCAATCAAAATTTAAACTTATCACTCATAAATAATACAAAAAAATAAAAGTTCTTACAAGTTTTATCAAACATATTTTAATAATGGCAAAATAAACAACAGCCTTCTCTTCAATAATAGCCAGACCATAAATTTTGCCAAATATTCATCTATATATCGAAGTTCCCTTGCAAAAGTGATCCATTTAAGTGAAAAGGGGATACGCATGGCTCTCAGAATCTTGTTTTAGAAAAGTCGTGACACAAATGAGATATAAGTATAGAAGATTTTAAACTCATTCAAACAAGAGCAGGATTTTAACCCCAAAAAAAAAAAGTGGGATGGAACATGCGGACCCTTGGGACCAAATGTTATGTTTTACTTCCATCATTCTTAAAATTTGCAGTTCTTTTTCCATAAAATTAACAGGTATTGCTTTTGTGTATGTAACCCCTTGTATTTAATGAAAGTTGGGAATCACCGGGAAAGGGGGTTTGATTTTTCTAAGTCGAACTGCCAACCTATGAGTCCCAAGCAACTCAATGGCTCGGCGAGGTTGGATTGGGTACCTTCATATATGAGTTCGAACTTGAAATATTTGGAACTGTTTACGTACAAAAAGAAGTACATAACAATTCACGCGGGAATCCAGAGACAAAATAAACGCAAAATATTCAACCAAGAACCGTGTTTTGGTATGGTAGAATTGTTCATCAATCAACTTCTACATGCAAACAAGCTACTTTCACAAATGGCACCTTCCTGTAGAGTTCACTCTGTATCCATGGTACTTCAAATAACAATTCATTCAACAATCAACAAATTTCAAGTTTCAAAGAATGCTTACACACAAAGATACCATACAAAACGCCAAATGTACAATTTACACAAGCGCGAGAGAACACTTTCAACTCTTCTCGAATCTATAAATTATCAAACCTTTATATTTTCTTGATCCTACATTCTCTCAGTTTACCTAGCACAGATGCTGGGGAAAAAAATATTACAGAGGGTTGACAGGAAAACATATAAAATTACAAAGGAGCCAAAGAACCTTACCTTTCTTGTTGAATGCATCCAAGTGTTGCTGATTGAATACATTCATCTTAATCTCATCTGAAAATGCGTGTCAGAACTACCAATATTTGGTTTTGCACCCTTCCAGGATTGTAAAAACTCACAATCCTGTTATTACCATATGCTTAGAAGCAAATTCATCTTCCTTGGGAGGTTCAACAAATAGTGCAAGGCTTCAGATAAATAGAACCCAGCCACAGTGCTAGCACTGTACACAAGCTATATTTTTCTCCCAAAATGTATAAATTCTCTATAAAATGCCCCGTAACAAAAGTCTGTAACTGGTGCTTTGGTATTTCATTGGTTGCTATAAACACCAGCAGAGCCATATGAATGAGCGTGAAGCAGTTCTTACCAAAGAATTGGATTATTTGATCATTATTTCCACCAGCAAACTTGTCAGAGTTTTGTTGGCAAATTGTACACTTGTCAGAGTTTTGTTGGCAAATTGTATGTCTTCTTAAGGAACTTTGCAGATGTCTCATCGCTGCGGTAGCACAAAACTCGCAAGAGTGTGTTTGGTTCAGTCGGACTCCACTGACCAGAAGTTGGAGGCAATGGAAGCCTGGATTTGGCAGAAGAGCCGTAACTCTCGAGGGTAAGGCGTTTGAACTGCTCAACTATATTCTCACTATCAGTGCGAAACAAGGGGAGAACTCCTTTGGCAGTGGTTGAAAACCTTTCTATTAAATCATCTGGCAGTCCATCGCCATTGGACCAAAACAATTCTGTTAGGAACTTAAAATCCTCCTCTATCATTTCACAATCTTGCAGATTGAAAGAACGAGAAGGACCTCCTGCAAGTAAAACCAACAGGAAGCCATCAAAAGATGCTTTCATTATATCAGTAATAACTCGTGTTCTAACTCTGTCATGCACTGTTGATGAAATGACCTCCAGGTAGTGCTCAAGTTCCTGAAGAAAAGGTTCAATTCTAGACGATGAAACTTCCCCAGCATACAAACCATCCCAAAGGACATGACTTAGATCTTGGAAGACAACCTTGTATGCTGTTGCCTCACATAGCTGTTGGATCCCTTCTACACAAGAAGCAGCTGACAGTTCAAACACTTTCCCTACCCCATTTGTAATATCATTGACATTAGCAGATTCAGAATTTCTAAGAAGGGTCATTGTCCTCTTTGCCAAATCCTCCAATTGAGTTCGAATAAGCTGCAAGGTATTAATACGGCAACATAACTGAGGTATGCCAAAGGCATTATTGCCATTTGTAGTCCCCACTTGAGATCTCCTTTGTGCCACTTGAAACTTTTCCTTTTTCTTAAATACACCATTGAATTTTGACCCAGTTGAACATCTTGTCAGAGCCGGCAGGGGGGGAACGAAAGTACTTCGGGTACCTACATATCAAACAGTTATTTTGTTTAGGTCTTGGTTAAGAGTCAAGATTGATAACTTGTAAAGAGAAAACAATGAATTAGCCATCTGGAGGTTGAATTACACATACCACAACCAGACTTTGCCTTCAATATGTAATGTTGAAGACATTTGTCAATACCAGTAATCAACTCAGGAAGCAAGACAGCATGCACAGGTATCGGTAAGAGAAAGAATGCCTCCATTATTTCATCTACAGTGCGTAAAACTTCAACACCAGATGGAGCAAGCCGTTCTCTATTTGCCTGTGGATCCCATACCTACAGAAAGGATATCAACTAAGTTGAGTCACAGAAAGACAATGAAGAAATGAAGCATTAAGAAGCTTACCAGAAGCTCTATTAACACATCATCATGCATGCTACAATGAACAAAATAAACTTAGATCAAAGTTTCTATTATCCCTCTTTCTTGGGTCCTCTTTTATAAGATTGATTCCAAAATTCATGAAATAGAGCAATAAATCTAGGTGCATGAAAGAAATGCTATATATCAGATTTGTTATTCCAGAAATGGTTAGAATCGGCAGGTCAATATGAGATTCAAGCTACAGCAGCAGCTTGGACTTGGGTAAAACAGAACCCCAAAGAGTGTACCCCTGCTGTGCAGCTTGAATCTTCAGCTGTAAGATTTATGAAAATGAGGATTCATATTTATTCACCTAAAACTTGCAAGATAAATAACAGTATTACATCAAACCCAATGGGGCAGTGAGAACAAAAAAAAAAAGGGAAAAGAAAGGGAAGAAGCCATAGACCTCTTGTTGAAGATTCCTGTCAACCCATTCCTTCAATCTGTCTAATCTTGTCTTTATCCATGACTTCACAAGATTGGCAATTACAGTCTCGGCTTCATAGGGAGGCATCTCCCTTATTATTGACTTCCCACCATCCTCACTGTCTACAGAATCTTCAACTGCAATTTGCACAAGATCCTTCTCCAATTTGTCAGCAGCTCTCAGCACTTGTATGGCATCTGGTGTCAGTTCAGTAATGCCTGAAGCAAATTGCCTCAGCTCATTCCCGTAGCAGGAATGAAGGGTGGCTACAGCTACACCTGCTGCGTGAGGGTGCCATCTCTTTAATATTGGACTAAATATTGCCTTCTCACTGAAAGCCAGGGCACTGACATCCTGTGCAAGGATGCAGAGGAGAGGGAGCTGGTTTGGCTGGTTCTTGGATGATCGCTTCCTATACTTCACCTGCTCCATTACCTGTCTAAAGAGAATTGAATGACATGTGAGTCATGTTTTTGAAAGAAAAAAAGAGTCCATAAGCATGAACTGATATGAAGAGAAGGATAAATAGAAATTCTATGGAGCAGAAAGTATAGCCCTAACTAAACTGCACCTGCATAAAGGGCCAACTCTGATTCTTTAAAGGCAAGAAGAAATTAAACTTGAGAATGGTTTCAAAAGCAGAAAGTACTTCCCATGGAGAAGTGATAATGCTAAGACATAATTCTATGCAATATAAAACACACATCAAATTGCTAAAACAGAAAATACTTAAAACTTTGTTAGAATACAAAAGACATGAGGTTGTGGGACCATCTTGCATCTTGGACTACCTATGTGGAAGCATCATGGTAAAATAATGATAACTTGCCTGAGAAAAAGCAGCACGTAGTGATTTTCTGATGTATGTATCCACTCTATCACTAGCCACATCAACTTCCTTTCTCCTCCTATGATACTCCTGAGAGAGATCTTCTACCATCAGTTTTGCTGCTAACACCCCCAGAGAAACAACACCTTCCAATGACTCAGTATTATCACTGTTGAAAGTATCGTGATAAGCAACAAGCCTTTTCTCAGCCCAATCCAAAATCAAATTCAGTACAGAACTCAATATCTTGGAGTAATTTGGATCTTTTGTGGCCTTTGCATCCTTTTCAACTTCTAGCATTAGGTTATTGGCAGCAAGCAATAGATCACTTTCCATTTGGCCAGTTGCAACAAAACGGTGAAATAAAGTCCATAAGAAACAAAGATTATGAAGCATCTGGTTTACTCCTAGGACCACCCAGGTCTTCTTTATGAGTTCCAAAACCTCATCAACCTCATCAATAACAGATGCTTCATCATTGACATCAAAACAAGCTTCTAACAGAATTTGGTAGAGTCTGAGATTCAATGGAAATCCATCTGCCCAGTGGCAAGTCTCAGATACAGATCCATCAAATGTTCTACAAGCAAGAGACATGACAACACTCCGGAGGGCTTGCATTGATTCACTGTTTTTTCCTGTGTCCAATGGTCTTTCTAGTGCTCCTTGAATAATCTGTCGGAGTCGCTGTGGAGCAGTATTGTTCTTGTCTGGTGGCATATGAGGATGCAGAAGGAGCCCAGCTTCAAGAAGCTTCAGGTTTCTCCTCTGCCAAGCTTGATACTCTTGTTGATTAGGAAAATCAGAGGACTTGAACTGCTGCAGCAACTCGAGTGGCAGAACTATAGACTCTATCTTTCTTCCCAGCTGATCATGCAAATGCAATACCAGGCAGAGCAATTAATTAATAAGTAATAACACAGGATTTAAAGAACTTAACCAACCAGAACTTATCTAATCAAACCTGAATTTCACACAGATGACCCAACAATCAACAATTATATCATACCCATTAGGAACTATGATCACGATCCAATCATAATTAACCTACTTTTTCAGCTTAAGAAAATGCCAAAATTTCAAAATAAGAAAACTGTTGAAGCATAAAACCCCAAAAGCTAGAGATTGAACAAATCATCTATATTACAGTGAATAAGGCTTAGCGAGACAGATCATTCTTTTCAGTTTTCACTCTGAAATGACAAAAACACATACTTGGGTTGTCGGCTTAACATCCCACAAAATACCTTAAAATCAACGACAAACTAAATAAAAACAAAACATTAAATTCCCAAATTTTCCATCTTACTGTAAGCGATCAACAAGAGTGTTTTAACAAACCTGCGCAGCCGCAATCCTCAGGAGTGCTCTCCTAATCCTGGAATCAGTCTGCTCCGACACCCGCATCTGCACCCTCACCAAATCCCCAGTAGTTACAGCTCTCTTCACTCTCTCCTGACCCGACGATTCCCCACCATTTCTCCTCCTCCCGGACGACTTCAACCCCAGCGCCTTCTTCACCTTACTGGCGGCCGTTGAGGTCAACGACCGCTGCAGAGAAGCCGAGGAACCCGCAGGCGCAGGCGAAGCAGACCTTTCCCCGTTCCTCTCAGACTGCGGTATATAAGTCAGCGGCTTCCCACCAGAACTCCGGCACGCCCCGACCAGGATCTCATAGGCCGTCTCTCGGAGCTCCGAGTCCGACAGACTCCGTGCGGCGTCGGAAAAAGGAGAAGGGATGGCTTCAACTGGGTAATTGGGCATCGGCGGTTCCGAGTGGTGAGGCTGCTGACTGCGGCGCTTGGATTCGCTGGTGGGTTTGTCCCTGAATCGACTTGACATGGCTATGGTGGAGTGAGGGTTAAACCTGAAGCCAAAAAAATTAAATAAAGTGAAAGAATTTAGACAGAAGGGATGAGGGAAATGGTGGGATTTTGGGAGTTAGTAAGATTCTTGCTTGAGTTTAAAGGAAAACATGATGATTATTCTTCTTCAGGGGGTGGCCATGGAAAAGGTAGAGAGACCTTTGAGAAGAAAGGAAGGTGCTTTGACAGCGGAAGGAATTAAATAGTAACAATCACAGCGAAATTGAAATTTTAGAATAGATAGGAATAGCCGAACGGGTTGGTGGTGGAGTGCCGGAGTGGAGCGGAGATACAAGATACAAATACAACACAATTCGCTTTCGATTTACGGAAAAGTTACCCTCCTAACATTTCCTCGGTAATACCTAACTTCTGTTTATTTATTTATTTATTTATTTTTATCTTAATTATATAATGAAAATGATCATCTTTTATCCCACTCAATTTATATATTATATGACTTAAATTTAATTTTTTTTATTTTTAATAAAAAAATAATCATTAAACTATTTAATCGTTGGCATAACTTCTGTTTATTATATATAATGACACATAAAAAATTTTATAAAAATACTGGATATAATTTTAAGGATTAAAACTATTGATAAATAAGTATTAAATTGTAGGTTAGATATGAAGTTTAAGGTTTAGGTTAATAATCTAAATAATTTTGTACTAGTCTTTTTTCAATAAATGTAAGAGATTTGAGTTTGATTTGAGTCGAATAGTATAAGAGTAGAATAAATTAAAAGATGAGAGATGATTATTTTTTATTATACAATTTGAAATAAAAAAAAAATTATAACTAGTTAGGGGTTAGGGTATTTGGGAATGCATTAGTAGTTTATAACTTATTATGATATTTGAAAATTTTAATTTATTGGTTGATTTTAAACTATAAGTTATAAATATTAATTATTTTATCAACTATTAAGTGCTATTAACAATCAAACTAAATACAAATTTACTGTTATTGTATAGCTTTAACAATTATTTGTGTG